TATTTGTTCTTCTGGAGAAAGTCTTATTTGTTTTATTTTGGCTAGAATAAAAGCAGTTTTTACATTTTTTAACACCGTTTTAAGGTCAAAGTTATTAGCCCCTTTAAGCTATATTTTGTTTCGAAAGTCTACAGAACAAACCATTGTTATACAATAACTTGCCTAATTACCCTAACCTGCCTAGTTAACCTAATTAACCATTTAAATGTCACATTAAGCTGTATAGAAGTGTCTTGAAGAATATCTAGTCTAATATTATTTACTGTCATCATGACAAAGAGAAAATAAATCAGTTATTAGAGATGAGTTATTAACACTATTATGATTAGTAATGTGTTAAAGAAATCTGCTCTCCGTTAAACAGAAATGGGGAAAAATTAAAGGGGGGGGGAGGGGGGGATAATTCTGACTTCAACTTTATATACATACACTTACACATATTTTTTAAAGAATCAATAGACTATTAATATTAATAATCAAAACCGAATATATTTTTCAGTGTTGCCAAGTCCAACATGCATCCTGAGCTCCAGCCTGAAGCCGCATTCATCTGAGAGCTGATTGGCTAAAACACAACACAATGAAGAAGTGCTTACAGATCTCTCTTTCTGGAGAACGACTCCACCGCCGTCTGCACACTGAGAGAACAGAGACGCGTCACACACACACAACACTAGCAGTGTTCCACTTTCAGCTAGCAGTCACACACTCACATGCTCGCTCAAAACAAAAAGTTTCTAATATATGTTTGTTGAAAAAGAAAATGAAACCAAAAAATTAACACAAAATTAGTGTGGAGCATTGTTTGTTTTATTATATAAAATTCAGATAAAAAAAATAAATATATATATATATATATATATATGTGGTATTTTTTCCTGAAAGCATTTTTTGTGAATCTGAAATATGCTACTTAGGAAACGTTTTGTTGTACGGTTCAGATGACAAATCCACCAGAGGGCGCTGTCTACATTATTGTGAGTCTTAAATATGCAACTTAGTAAATATGTTACTTATGTATATATTTGTGCGAATCTAAAATACATTACTAAGGGTACTTTTGTTGCATGTTTCAGATGACAAATCCACTAGAGGGCGCTGTATACATTATTGCGAGTCTTAAATACGTAAATAAGGGTACATTTTTTCCATGTTAAAGATGATAAATCCACTAGAGGGCGCTCTATACATTATTGCGAGTCTTAAATACGTAACTTAGGGTACATTTTTTCCATGTTTAAGATGATGAATCCACTAGAGGGTGCTGTATACATTATTGCGAGTCTTAAATACGTAACTTAGGATACATTTTTTCCCCAAGTTTCAGATGATAAATCCACTAGAGGGTGCTGTATACATTATTGCAAGTCTTAAATACATTACTTAGGGTACATTTTTTCCATGTTTCAGATAACAAATCCACTAGAGGGCGCTATCTGAATTTTTGCATATCTGAAAAACACTACTTAGGGTACATTTTGTTGTACATTTTAGATGACAAAACCACTAGGGGGTGCTGTCTACATTTTGTGAATCTGAAAAACATTGCTTAGGGTATGTTTTGTTGTGTATGGTTAGCACAAAAACTCCTTTTAAAACAGAAAAAGATAGCTTTTATCGTGTGCCACGACATCATGTCACGTGTTGTTAGGACATGATATAAGGGTTAGAAAGATAAGAGCGGAGACGCACCTTTCTGTATCGCTATCATCACTGGACTCAACCTCCTCCAGCGCCGCCTGCAGATCCACGATCCGCCTGATGGACGTCTCCAGATCGGCCTGTAGAGTCTGTCTGACGGCGCTGAGCTCCTCCACCTGCATCTCCTGGAGAAACAGCAGATCATGTGTGACGGTCAGTCAGGGTTCATCAGAGACAAACATCAGCAATAAATCATTGGCTATGCTTCCATTTACCTATTGTTATTCGCATTTTGAAATATCGCTTACAAAAATCTCTATGAAAATACCATTTTGTTATACGTTTGAGATGAAAAATCCACTAGAGGGCGCTGTCTACATTTTTGTGAGTTTGTAATACGTTACTTAGGAAATGCTTTGTTGTACATTTCAGATGACAAATCCACTAGAGGGCGCTGTCTACATTTTTGTGAGTTTGTAATACGTTACTTTGCAAACATTTTGCTGTACGTTTCAGATGACAAATCCACTAGAGGGCGCTGCTTACATTTTTGTGAATCTGAAATACGTTACTTAGGAAACGTTTTGCTGTACATTTTGGATGATGAATCCACTAGAAGGCGCTGTCTACAGTGTCAATTTGAAATACGTTACTTAGGAAACGTTTTGTTATATGTTTGAGATGATAAATCCACTAGAGGGCGCTGTCTACGTTTTTGTGAGTTTGTAATACGTTAATAAGGAATGCTTTGTTGTACATTTCAGATGACAAATCCACTAGAGGGCGCTGTCTACATTTCTGCGAATCTGAAATACGTTACTTAGGAAACGTTTTGCTGTACATTTTAGATAATAAATCCACTAGAAGGCGCTGTCTACAGTGTCAATTTGAAATACGTTACTTAGGAAACGTTTTGTTATACGTTTGAGATGACAAATCCACTGGAGGGTGCTGTCTACATTTTTGCGAATTTGAAATACGTTACTTAAGGTACGTTTTGCAGCACGTTTTCAATAAATTAAAAAAATGTGCATTAAAAAAAACTAAGCATATAACTGAGTAGGATAAAGTTTTATGCTATATTTATAAATGTACATAAACTACGATAAGAACACATTTACTAAATAAATTCCAGCATGTGGATCTATAAAGTCATGTGATTTAGTTCATGTGATGAAAAAAAATGTGTTTGATGGGACAAACTAATAGACAAAGTGGTGTTTCCTGCACATTGTAAAACATCTGAACTGTTGTTTTGCTCATGCCTCAGCCAAAGTCTGTCATCAAAGTGCTGCAGTATTATTATTACCTCCAGAAATATTATAGCCTCCAGTGACAATAAGACAGTAGTGTGTCATTGACTAAAGGACAGAAGTGTGTGTGTGTGTGTGTGTTATTGACTAAAGGACAGTATTGTATGTGATATTGACTAAAGGACAGTGGCGTGCTCTTGTTTATGGAATAATGTGATCATCAGTGCTGGAGAAGCAGTGGAGCGTCTGGTTTCTCCTCCGTCTGTCTGTGATTAATTCTCTTTGTCTCCTTCAAGGTTATTGATACAACAAACCCCACTGCGCTGCTCTCATCTCCATGACGACCACACCTTCACTGCGTCCCCTTCACTACCAATAACCTGAGTGTGTGTCTGAGTGAGAGTGTATATAGTGTGTGTGTGTGTGTGTGTGTGTGTGTGTGTGTGTGTGCGCGCGTGTGTGTGTGTGTGTGTGATGTGTTCATGGGTGTAAGTAAATGTAGTATGCATGTGCATGTTAGTGTATGTGTGTTTTTGTGTGAGTGTAAGTGTGCTGTATGTAGTGTGTAAGTTGAGTGTGTAAGTGTTTATAGTGCATATGTGTATGTGTGTATGTGCAGTGCACAGTGTGTGAGTGTATGCATGTACAGTATATAATATACACACATATATGAGCATATGTGTGTAACTGTATGTAGTGTATATGTGTGCGTTTGAGTGAGAATGTGAGTGTATTTGTGTGTGTATGTAAGTGTATGTAGGGTGTGTGTAAATGTATGTAGTGTATATGTGTGTTTAAGTGTGTGTGTATGTGTGAGTAAGCCTGTGTGTGTGTGTGTGTGTGTGTGTGTGTGTGCGTGTAAGTGTATGTAGTGTACAGTATATGCGTGTTTGAATGTGTGAGTGTGCATGTAAGTGTGTGTATGTTTTTGTGTGTTAGTGTTCACGTAATTGTGTGTATGTGAGAGTGTGTGCCGGTGTGTGTATGTGAGTGAGTGCATGCATGTGCAACTGTGTGTGTGTGTGTGTGTGTGTGTGTGTAAGTGTATGTAGTGTACAGTATATGCGTGTTTGAATGTGTGAGTGTGCATGTACAGTAAGTGTGTGTGTATGTGTGAGTGCATGCATGCGCAAGCGTGTAAGTATTCTATATGTGTGTTTGAATGTGTGAGTGTGCATGTAAGTGTGTGTATGTTTTTGTGTGTTAGTGTTCATGTAATTGTGTGTATGTGAGAGTGTGTGCCTGTGTGTGTATGTGAGTGAGTGCATGCATGTGCAAGTGTGTGTGTGTGTGTGTGTAGTGTATATGTGTAAATAAATACAGGCCACAACTGAACATGCAGGATGATCTCCAAGTGGCGGTCTCCAAAATTAAACCAAGAATAGACTTGGGTTTATTGGTGTGTGTGTGTGTGCAGCGTTGCGTGCAAGGTTTGTATATTTATCACCCCCTCAGAGGATATTTAGAGTCACTGGCATTGTTATTTTAGGGTGAAGAGTTTGGAAACCCCCTGGTC